AGTCTGCTGTCTCCAGGACATTCAGGAATTATTTTCTTCATTTATTGATTTTTAGATTTGATTGTTTCATTCTGCTTTTTTGTTTTATTTGGTTGTGTCTGGGCACGCGGGCTGGGTGTGTTTTGTAGCTTGCTCACCTGTGGGCACGATACTTCTCACCACCTTGTCCAGGTGGGCAGGGCGGGTCCAGCAGGGGTGGAAGGGCAGGAATGGGTAGTTTGTGGCATGAACTGGGGGTGATGGGGCAAGACTAAGGACAGTGCAGGGAAGGATCCAGGGGACTGCATCACTACTGCTCGGGGGCATGGCACTGGATGCCTGGTGTAGATAGGAGAGAAAGGAGAGGACGTGATGTGCATGCTAAGTAGGTGAGTGAAAGAGGAGAAAGAAAAGAGAAACAAAGGCAAAAAAAGAAAAAGGGCAAAAAATGAAGTAAAAAAATAAAAAGAAAAAGAAAAAAATTAAATAAATGGCAATGAGGTAGGATTCGGCTGGTGGGGGCGGGGCAGACCTGGTGAGACCATGTGCTGGTGGCTCTCTAGCTAAGCAGTGTGGCTCAGTCTGTCGAGAAGTGGTGTGGGTGGCTCACGAGGCTAGGTGGACAGGGGAAAGGAAAGGAAAGATGAGAAAGAGAGAAGAAACCAATAATCAAACAAAAGTAAATAAAAATAAAAACAACAACAACAAAAATATAGTGGTGGGGGCACCGGCCATTGGGGATGAGGCAGAATTGAGGTGGCAGTGAGCTGAGGTCTCTCTCACTGGGTGGCATGGCACAGCCCATCAGGAAGGGGCAGAGGCAGTGCAGGGCTTATGTGGGAGGGAGAAGGAAAAGGACAACAGGAAAGATAAATAAAAAATATGGCACTGAGGGAGCTGGCCTGTGGGGGTGGCACAGACCCTGGGAGGCCATGGATTGACTATATTTTAACAGAGTACAGGAAAGGTGACATAACTTTTCCTGTAACAGAAATGTAAGAACTGTTTCTGATCCTCTTTTTGATAGGAATGGAAATCAATGGCTAAATACTGTATATCTGAGTGTCTGCTTTCTTGGACTCCTAAGACCAAATGATGCAGACTGGGTTCTGAAGGAAGTAGATTGGGATGGAAATCAGCATGTAGGAGTTTTAATAGGGAGAACTCTTGGGATCAACACCTGTGGAAGGGATGGAAAGAAACAGAATTAGGCAGAGGAAGAAATTAAGCTGCTATGCAGACTCAGTGAAGTCCTTAACTAACCCTCTAGGGAATTCTGAAGCTGAGATGACCCTTCAGAGTCGTGTCAATTTGGGGTGATACGGTCAGACTTGACACCTCATGTCAATGTCAATTACTCACTGGATGGGGGCCATCTGGAAATGAGATGTGACACAGGGGAGGTGGCTTTCTTCAGTTGAGGCAGTTCCCATAAGATGTTGCCAGCTGAAAGCTTTCTGCCAGCAGTACTCCCACAGATTGGGTGAGCAAGTTGTTCATTACTGAGGGGAATCTGGGTGTGCATAACAGCATCTACCACATACCCACATTTTTTTGCAGCTCCAAATTACCCTTCTGCCTCAATTAACTGTACTCTGAAATAGGCTGAATTTTTCTTATCATTTTATTTCTTCTCTTCAAGCACTAAACAGAGTGCAAAACAAAAAGAACATTGGAGGCAACAAACCTGTATTAAGAATTCTAGCTCTAACATCTAGTAAATGTGTGATTTTGGACAAGGAACTAATAATAATAAATAGCCATTGCCATCTAATCGATTCCAACCCATAGCGACCCTATAGGACAGAATAGAACTGCCCCACAGGGTTTCCAAGGCTGTAAATCTTTATGGAAGCAGACTGACACATCTTTCTCCTGCGAAGTGTCTGGTGGGTTGGAACCACCAACCTGTGGTTAGCAGCCAATCACTTAACCACTGTGCGACCAGGGACCCTAGTCTATAAAACAGGTGTTTTAATACATTTTCATAGGTTTGTTTTGGATAGTAGAAGATATAATGAAAATACTGCCTAGCACAGTACCTGGCACATAATAAATGCACATTAAATGCTCAGGTAGTTTGAACAGCAAATATTCAAGAAATGTCTGTTTCCATGAATATGAGAACCATGGCTCTACAGACAAACCAAATCCTTCCAGACACCATTCTGTCTCCCCACCTCCCCATTACAGGCAAAGTTCTTCACAACAGCTGTCTCCTCTCACTGTCTGCACTTCTCCCTTCCATTCATTCCTCAATCTGCACAAATTTCTGCCCCGATACCCTCTTGCCAAGGTCGACCTAGGCCCTCTCTCTTTTAATCCAATGAACGCTCATTTCTTACCAGACCTCTTAGCAGTGTGTGCCACTGTTGATCTTCTGTCCTCTTCTCTCAGCTTCATCAATCTGTACTTTCCTCTTAAGAGTTTTCTCTTAGGAGTTCTTAACCCTGGCTACACATTGGAATTTCCTAGAAAGATTAAAAAAATATTAATATCCGGTCTCCACACCCAAGATTAGGATTTAATTGGCTCAAGGTAGGGCATGACCATGAATATTTTTAAAGTAACTTTAAAGTTTAACATTCATTTTTAAAAAGTCTATACATCATAAATGTACAAATGGGTGAATTTTTATACAATGAACTGTTCTGCATAACCAGCTCCCAGATCAAGAAACAAAACAAAAAAGCCCTCTTATTCCCCTTTTAGTCAATATCTCCCAGAGGCATCTGACAAATCCAAACATAGGCGAACCCCTGAATCCTAAGCAGGTAATCACTGGAAAATGGCAGGCCAATCCGAGAACACTAGCTAAAACTAGAAGAGGGGTCTTCAGGATCCAATTAACTGGATCCCATCCTTGATTCTAACATCATAGGTTGGTTTTGCTGTTGTTGTTTTTTTCCTAAACTTTTTGTAATTGGAATCATACACTATATATTCTTTTGTGTTTAGCTTCTTTAGAGCAACATTTGTTTTTTGAGGTTCATTCATGTGGTTGTGTGTAGTTGAAGTTTATTCTTATTGCAGTATAGTACTCAAGTCTATGAATATGCTACTATTTATTTATTCAATCTATTAGCAACAGGCATTTCCATTGTTTCCATTTTTTGGCTAACACAAATAATACTGTTATCAGTATTTTTGCACAGGGTTTCTGGCTGTATTAAAATGAAGTAACATATTTAAAATACTCAAGGAAGGAAAATGTGCTCTATGGGTTTTTTTTTTAATCCATGCTTCAGTGAACAAATCAAATAAACTGTTAGATCCATTCCTAACCTCTCGAGCTGGAACATTGAATGAAAAATCTGTGCTTAGTGGGCCCATACCAATAAACTAAAAATGATCCAACTTTATGTTCCTTGCACCATTATCCCATACACTGAATAACCTTTCCCACACATATTCCTCAGGCTTCTGTTTGTATATATTAGCAAAGTCAAGCAATTTTTTGGAGTGTAGCATATCTCCTTCTGAGTCACACTTTGTACTTCACCTTTTGGGGCTCACTGGGACTCAAGTCTAGTTTAGATGCATGGTGCTAAATCAAGTTGAAGTGCCAGACCTGCCTTGGTATTTGTAGAAGAAAGTATCCAAAAGTGTAAGGAAATTGGCATGTTAGAGTGGATTTATCAGATTAAACCCACACAGGCCCACACATGGAGTGCCCAGTGGACACATCTTTTACCACAATGGTGAGGAACAAATTCATGAAGGAAGCCCCAGGATCCTTGAAGATTGCTGTGACTGCTATTTTATGTAGGTCAGATTTGACAGTCATAACTTCCCTAACTGAATTAAGATACCTAACTACAATGGAGCTGATTGGACCCTGTGGTGGTGGGGTCAAGTGGCAGCACTCAAATGACGAAGGCGAGGTGGGCATGGTTACTGTAATGGACAACAGAATTGAAGCAGTAATCGGAATAGTCTGACTTGTATGGACATATGGCGGTGGCTAATTAGTCACAGTGTTCCCAGGAGTGAAATAGATGGGAAATCTATTAAATATTTACTTGATTTGTACAAGTGGAAGAATTCTAAGTCAAGTAAACAGCAGTCTAACTCAAACTGCCAGTATAGAGAGTCACAGCCCATCAATTAATTCCCAGATATGAACCAGTTTACAGACTCACTACCCCTTGAATGAAGGGGAGGCCAGATCCCCTTGAGGAAGGACTACTGTACTGCCAAAAATGTATACTGTTAGTCTTTCTCCCACCTTTCCTCAAAGGAATCTACAGCTTTTTATGAGAGTGATTGTTCACTGGGGAAAAGCAAATAATCAGACTTTTTGGGGATTACTGGATACTGGCTCTGAACTGACACTAATTCCAGGAGACCCAAACTTCACTGTGGCCCATCAGGTTGGGGGAGTATGGAGGTCAGGTTATTAATGGATGCTGAGCTTATGTTCATCTCATACTGGGTCTAGTGGGTCCCCCCAGAATGTATAATTGGAAAAGATATACTCAACAACTGGCAGAACCCACAGATTGGATCTCTGACAAGTGGAGTAATGGCTATTATGGTAGGAAAAACCAAGAAGAAGCCATTAGAGCTGTCCGTACCTAGGAAAATAGGGAACCAAAAGTAATACTGCATTCTTGGAAGAATTACAAAGATTATTGCGACCATGAAGGATGTGAAGGATGGAGGGGTGTTGATTCTCACCACATCCTTACTCAATTACCTATTGGCCTGTGCAAAAAACAGATGGATCTGGAGAATGACAGTGGATTATCAAAAATTTAACCAGGCTTCCACGCAACGTGGCACTATAGGCAGAAGCACCACGCCTTCCCACCACAGCAAAGATCTGAAAAACTAAGCCAAACAGAGAAAATGGCAATCCTGAAACCCTAACATCAAATGAAGAGATAAAGAACTCAGCCAAGCACTGAATGGAATAAGAAACTGACAGAGAACAGACAGCAAGGAGAGATACATGCAGAAGTCCCCATCAGCTAACACAGCATGGATCGGCCATCTTGGACTCCTATCAGAGATCAGTGAAAAGCAGGTACAAGAAAACAGCTTCACGGAGCTTCCAGGAGGAGACAGAACAACCAGTAACCAGCGATATATGCTTTCCCACCCCTCAACCTTCCTCACCCCTACTTGGCCTCCTCTGCTTCCTGCTGCCACAGTCTCTTGGCCAGGAAGCACTGGAGTCACCCCGTAGTCGCTTGGAATCCACCCGCCCGCAATGGCTGGCTCCCTGAATGCCATTTGTTGGCTGCTGGTGTTGCTTTTTTCCTCTTTTTTAGATTTCTTCCTTACCTCTCACCACCTCCTCCTCCTTTCCTCTAAAATACCTGGCTCTGTGCGCCATATTTGCTTCTTCCTGATAGGCTGTGAAACACGGCGCAAATGTGAAACTGCTTCCTGGTCCGTGCTGCCATGCTGGTGGGATCCCGGGGCTTTTTTTGTTTGTGTGTTTTGAATTGTTTGTTTGTTTGTTTTCTTTTTCTTTCCTAGAATTGGAAGCCCTTTCTAGCTGGGTTGTACGGCACGGCTTGGGATGTACCCCCTCAGTTTGTGCAGATGCGCAGAGGGATTCCTGAGGAAATTTCTTTTTTCTTGTTTTTTTTTTCCCTGTCTTTTTTCCTTTTTTGAGGGTTTTTCTTTTTCTTTTTTTATTGTTTTGTTTTCTTTTACCTCTTTTCCCCTTTTTGTCTTTCTTCATTACTCAGTTTCTCATCTCTCTATACTTTCCTTCTCTTCCTGTCCCCTGAATACCTGGCGCTAAGTGACACCTCTACCCCTTCTAGCTAGGCTGTACTTTCACGGCCTGGGAGCAACTTCCCCAGACCTCACAGCCGCACCAGTGGGATCACTGGGGGCTTTTCTTTTTTCTTTCTGATTTTTATTTATTCATTTTTTCTTCTTCTCCATTTTGTTTTTCTCCAATTCATAGTTTCTCATCTCTCCACTCCATCGGCAAGCTCCCCAACACTCTTTTTTGTTTGTATGTTTTTGGCTACTGTTCCTCTCTCCTCTCTCCCATACCCATCTTAGCTCCACACGTCACAATCTCCCCCCTCCATCCTGCCTACCTGCACTGTGTGTTGACTATCACACCACCAAACAGCCCAGGCACAACCTACCGGAACCTGCCTTGCACTGATTACCGGCCTACCCTGGTGGCCATAGTAAGTGCTACAAACAACCCATCCCAGCAAATCCTCTTCAGCTAGACCTGCCCTGCTGTACCATATCTGAGCGACTGACCCTGCAAACTGGAGAAGGGGGTGAAAAGTATCATGCCCACAGATGAGCAAACAACAAAGAACACACAGCCCATCTGCTCAGACATAGCCAAATAAAACAAAAAAGCAGGATGAAACAAACAAATCTACAATCAATAAATGAGGAAAATAACTACCAAATGCCCCGAAAACAGCACACAATATCAAAACATTTACAAAAACAGGACAGGATGGTTCCAGTAGGCATCCAAAATAAAACACCAGATGACCCTGCAGTAGAAGAAAAGGCATTAAAACTACCTGATAGGGAATTCATATCTCTACCATTCAGAACTATCCAAGACTTGAAGCAAAAAGCAGACAAAAGTGAGGAAAAAATAAACAAATTCATGGAAAAAGCAGACAAATTCATGGAAAACAGACAAAAAAATGGAAGAATTCAGGAAAATAATGCAGGAACAAAATGTCAAAATAAATTCACAACTAGAAATCATACAGAAACAACAATTTGAAATCCAAAACATAAACAACAAGATTTCAGAAATGGACAGTATCATAGAAGGGCTGAGGAGCAGGTTTGAAATGGTGGAAGACAGGATCAGCGAACTTGAAGACAAACACTTGGCTACAACTCTGAGGAAAAATCAGAAAAAAGAATGAAGAAAAATGAAGAAACCCTGAGAATTATATGGGATACAATCAAAAGCAAAAATCTGTGAGTGATCGGAGTTCCAGAACAGGGGGAGAAAACAGAAAACACAGAGAAGATCCTTGAAGAACTGCTGACAAAAAACTTCCCCAATATCATGAAAGATGAAAAGCTGGCCATCCAAGAAGATGAACAAACCCCATATAGGATAGACCCCAAAAGAAAATCACCAAGGCATTATCATAATCACATTCGCCAAAACCAAAGACAAACAAAGAATCCTGAGAGCAGCTCAAGAAAAACAAAAAGTCACATACAGAGGAGAAACAATAAGACAAAGTTCAGATTATTCAGCAGAAACCATGCAGGCAAGAACACAACTGGATGACATATACAAAACCTTGAAAGAAAAAAATTGCCAGCTAAGAATAATATATTCTGTAAACTCTCATTCAAATATGATGGTGAAATTAGGACATTTCCAGAAAAACAGAAATTAAGGGAATATGTAAAAACCAAACCAAACTTACAAGAATTATTAAAAGGAGTCCTTCGATCTGAGAACAAACAACATCAGCTCACAGGCTGAATCTAGGATGCAGGA